CGGCATTGGGAGAGGGAAGTTCTCCCTGCTCCGGGGGTCAGATCAAACCCCAACGAGAAGGTGGGCAGATCTGGGGAGGAGGGACAAGCTCAGAAGCCAAGAGCGGCCTCTCCAGGAGGAGCTCAGCTGGGCAAGCAGCTGCCGTCTGCTTCTCCACCAAAAAAAAAAAAAAAAAAAAAAAAAAAAAAAAAAAAAAAAAAAAAAAAAAAAAAAAAAAAAAAAAAAAAGGGCAAAAAAAGATCAGAAGCGCAGTGCTGCGCAGATGTACGAGGGCAACCGCACTTCCTGCTCCCCGGGAGAGGTGTTTCCTGTTCCCCAGACCATGACAAACTGAATCATCCTTCTGCTTACAGGGCTGAGCTTAAAAAAAAAAAAAAAAAAAAAGAGAAACTACATTAAATTCTTGCCCTACTCCTAGCCAGATGATGTAAAAAAATCCAGCTGGGTGCGGGGACTCTGGGTGCTGTGTTGCACCTTTCTGCATGGCTCTCTGCAGTCACCCACCCTCGTCGGTCCCGAGATTGTGGGTAGAGGAAAGCTGGCAGCAAAACTGGGGCTGAAATAAATCTTCCCGACATCATGTTATTTTCAGCAATTTTAGCTCTTTTTAAAGCAATTTATTTACAGTTTCAAAACGATGCTCATCTCCTCTGTAGGGACCTCTTCCCCTGCTCCTTCCCAGTGTTTTTACGACATCAGCTGGAAACCAGAGTGGTGCTAGGTCAGGGCCATGGTCTGAGACCCCTGCCCTGCGGGCTGGGTGTGGGGGACAGCAGCGTTGGTCTGTTCTCCCTCAGGCACTTGACTTCTGCAGAGTTTTCTCACTCTGCAGACAAACAAGCCCAAAACATCTCAGCCTTGTGGTTAAAAGGAAAAAAACTCTCAGTAGTGGTCAAGCTCTAACCTAACATCAACCTCCTGAGCCTGCCCGCTGCCTGGAACACCTTGACCATGACTATCAACCATTGCAAGGGGTGATACCTCTGGGATAATGGTCCTGCATCTCCAGGCTGGAAAGAGATGTGGTCTTGGGTTCTCCAAAATGGTGCAGTGGGGACGGCTCTCACTTCTCCCCATTGCTGAGCAACTCGTCCCCGCAGGTGGAGTACCTGCTGAAGAAGATCTGCACAGCCATGAACGTGGAGCTGAACTCCTGCGAGCTGGATGACTACCTCTCCCAGGAGCTACAGGGCCCGGGGGGGCTGACGGTCTGGCAGTTCCTGGACATGATGAACTCGGGGCGGTTTCTGCGAGGCATCGAGCAGGAGGCCATCAGCATGGCTGTGGAGGAGGTGTACCAGGAGGTCATCGAGGATGTGCTCAAACAGGCAAGGAGCCCGCATGTCCTGGGGCACAAACCCCGTCCTGCCCCCACCCCATTTTTGATCCCTGTGTCTCTCGGGCGCAGGGCTACCTCTGGAAGAAGGGCCAGCTGAGGAGGAACTGGTCGGAGCGGTGGTTCATGCTGAAGCCCAGTGTCCTGTCCTACTACATGAGTGAGGAACGGAAGGAGAAGAAGGGGAGCATCACGTTGGACAAGCACTGCTGCGTGGAGGTATGGCCTGGGCCATGCTCAGCTGGGGGACAGGAGACGCAGGAGACCCCCTTCAGACCCTGGGAAGGGGAACCCAAGAATACACAATTTCACATCCATGAGCATGGGAGACCCAGTCCTATGGCCAAAGGAAGTGGGGATAAAGTGGGGTACAGGGGGGTAACACCATCCTGTGTCCTCTCCCTGCAGGTGCTGCCCGACCGGGATGGGAAGAGGTGCATGTTCTGCGTGAAGACCTCCTCTCGTACCTACGAGATGAGCGCCTCCGACACCCGGCAGCGCCAGGAGTGGACGTTAGGTCCGTGCCCACCCTGCGCCCCCTCCCCAGCTTCCCTGTGCCCCCCACCATGTCCCCACTGACTGTCCCCTTCCCTCCCCAGCCATCCAGACGGCCATCCGGCTGCAGGCTGAGGGCAAGAAGTCCCTGCACAAAGACCTGAAGCAGAAGCGACGGGAGCAGCGGGAGCAACGGGAGCAGCGTAAGGCGGCCAAGGAGGAGGAGACGCAGCGGCTCAAGCAGCTCCAGGAGGAGAAGGAGCGGAAGCTGCAGGAGCTGGAGCTGCTCAAGGAGGCCCAACGGCAGGCAGAGATACTCCTGCAGGAGGAGGAGCAGCGGCGGAGGCAACAGCACGAGGAGATGCAGAGGACTCTGGAGATCCAGCTGCGGGAGGCCGAGCAGGTCAGTGCCTCCTCATGGCATGTCCTGCCACGGGGCTGCGTCACTCGTGGGGTGGCCGCGTCCTTCCCCTTCCCTTGCCTGTGGCAGCCCAGGAGGGTTTGGAGGAGCTTTTAGGAGCAGGTCCCCCTCTCGCAACAATGCTGCTGCCACCCATCACCTCTGGGCTCCCAGGGGCTGTGTGTGACCCGGGGACGAGGGACAGAGGGGTCAGCACCGCCGTGCATGAGATACCCGAGGAGCAGGAGATGACGACAACCTGCCCCGGGGTGTATGAAGCTGGGGGGCAGGTGAGAGGCGAGCGCTAGTGCCGGGCTGGCCAAGGAGGCCATTTCTGACCTTGCAGTCGGCGCTGGCTCCGAACAACGTGTTGTATCTCCCCGAGCAGGGAAACAGCCTTGGAGCTCTGTCCATGGGCTCTCCCCGCTGTAGGAGACGTCTGACCCCATCCACCCAGGGGTGTGGGGCCAGGGGGCCCTGGGGACGGTGGCCGTGGCTCTGCCAGCGCTGATGGCTCCTCTCCCTGCCGCAGGCTCGCGCCTCCATGCAGGCAGAGATGGTCCTGAAGGAGGCAGAGGCAGAGCGGCAGCGCAAGCGCCTCCTGGAGCTGGG